GGGCCGGGCGGGTGGCGGGGGGTCCGGGCCGGGGGCGAGGTGGTGGAGCCCGGCCCTGGGGTGGGCAGCGCTTCAGAGCCGCAAAAATGCCGCTGTCGGCGGATGATGCCCGGGAGCACCGGGCCCGCGCGCGGGGATTGCCACGGGATCCTTGCGGCACTGAATATTATTAATAGGTAACTATTTTGGTAGTTAATAGGATAAGGTGAATGCTTGGATCGTTAGCGCTGTGACAAATTGCTCGCTAATTACAAATAAAGACGTCCTTAGGAAGAATTATAGCCAACGCAAACCCTGCTCTTGTCCTGAGGAGCTGTGCTTGGCTTTTTTTTATTTTTCATTTTCATCTGCCATCGGTTGCCCAGCTGGCTGGCACACCTGCGGCGGCGGGGTTGAGCGGGGTGGAGATGGACGATCCCCCCGCGGGGCTCCCCCAGCTCCCCCTTCTACGCCGTTTCAAGGCCTTTGTCACCTTGATGCCAGCTGACGCTGGACCCCCCCACCCGTGGGTTTGCTCTCTGCAGGGGCCGCGGCTCCGGGCACTAAGGGGTTTTGTCTTGGGACTGCTTCTTGTTTAGGGGCTCTTGAAATATCTGGGCACGAAGGTGGAGGGTGCCAGCCCAGTGCCCGGCTCGGGGGGAGCAAGTGCACCCAGCTGAGCACTTCAAACTCATCTCAGCTGGCAGAGGACACCAGGCCGATGCTTAACTCCGGCTTTCAGGGAGAACCCGGGGCTTTCAGGTGTGCTCAGCTGGGCCGGTCCCACCGAGGGGCCGGGGCAGAGCGGCGGGGGACGGTCCTGGTGCCCAGGTGACATGGCCGTCTGCACGGGGACGATTGCAGGCTGGTGACTGTGGCAGATTACGGCTGGTTTGCTTTTAATCCAAGAGGGGATTTGCCTTCAGCGCTGCCGGCAGCCGGGAGGGAGGCAGGGGAGGACGTGCCGGGCAGCAGAGCCTCTTCCTCTGTGGCGGGGGGGGGGATGGTTTTCTCGCCTCGAATGCCGCCTGGAAACAGCCACTGGCTTTGGAAACGTGGCCCTGGGGGGGATCTCACGGGACCCCAGGGCATTCCCCTCTCTCTGTGGACGTGGCTTTGGCTGCTCGGCCGCAGGCTCGCTCGGGATGGCCAGTGCAGCCACCTCTTGTCCCAGTAAAGCATCTCCCCTTCCCATCCCGGGGTTCCCATCCCCTCCAGGCAGGGTGCAAATGGGATTAGTCAAGCCAGTATTTTGAAGCAAAGGCTGGGATTTACTTCAGTGGCTCTGACCTTGCGCTGGCAAAGGCGATGGGAGGGAGAGCAAGCGGGGGCTGCGGGCACCAAGCTCCCCCCCGGCACACGGGAGGGGGGACCGTCAGCAGGGCCCTGGCTGGGAACAGGCGTGAAAGGGTTAACCAGCCAGTGACACCCCAGTCCCGGGGGGCACAGCCCCGCGGTGGTGGCACTGCCGTGGCACAGGGAGCCGTGGCTGGGGTTTGGCTTCGCCTCTGGCCGCCCACTTTATAGCGCTGAATTAAATAAGCCGCAGTGTGCGGTGCGCCAGCTCGCCGGGCGGCGATGGGTTGCCCCGGGGCAGAAGCACCCGGTGCCTTTTAACCAGCCTGGGCTTCACCCCGGCGGCGCCGTGCCCGTCGCAGCACCCCATGCTGGCACCCGCTGCTGCAGGGCGTCCCTGCGCCAGGGCCGAGCCATGGCCACCCGGCTGGGGTGACCGCAGGCTGTGCAAAACTCGGCGCTTCCCTCACCGGGAGCACGCGGACGGGCTGAAAACGAGCTTTTCTATTTTAGCCGCTTTGGAGAGCTGGGCTGTGACCCTGCCGAAACATCCAGGCTCCGACGTTTGAGAGCCGGGGGCTGCATAATCAGAGCTGAGCCAGATCCCAGCAGGGCAGCAATGGCTTGGGGGACAACGTGTGACGTGTGCCACCGTGTGCCAGGGCCACAGGCAGGGCCACAGCACGCACTGGGGTCTGCGCCCACGGGGTCCTCGCCGGTCTCGGGGCATCCCGCCGGCCCCGCCTAAGGTGCCATCCCTGGTGCTCATGGAGAAAAGGGGTCAATGGCGTCATCGGCACCGGCTGGTGCCGGATACATCCCGTGTGACGGTGCTGGCAGGCACGCAGGAGACGCTTTGTTTGCCAGGAACACGGGGCAATTTTGGTTTATTCCTCCTTTCCAGCAGCCACTCTGTTCAGCCCTTCCCGCATGCTCACCGGGCCTCTGAAGTCTAAGCTCTCATTAAAGCCCGGCTTTCCCTTGGCGATAGGACTGTCCTTGACGGGCTTTCCTTCCCCAGGGGCAGGCGTCGGTTAAGGGTTTATAATTAGCTGGTAATAAGGTGGCTGTGGCTGGAAAGGTGCTTTCTTCCTCTGTCATCCAGCCGTGCCCACAGGGTCACCGGCCCCGGCGGGGCTCCTGCCGATGCCCGGGGCTTTCCTGTGCCGATGCTTCCCTGGCAGAGCCCGGCACGACTCCAGGCCCTTGTTTAATGGCAAGGTTTTGGGGGACCTGCCCTGGGAGGGCGCGTGGGGCCGGTGCTGTCCATGCAAAGGGGGAGCTGAAGCCCCTGGGCCATGCACAGGGTGTGCTGGGAGCCTGCAGCACCCAAGGGTGTTCCCAACCCCTGGCAGGGAGACTGGGTGACAGCAGCGTGGTCCTCGCCTCCTCTGCCCATCCTATGGGAGCCCCCAGCACCCACCAAACCACAGCTGGGGCCATCGCAGAGAGCCTGTGCTCCATTTTCCAGCTTTCCCCCAGTGCTGGGGAAGCTTTTCTGTAGGTTTAAATATAATTTTTTTCCACCTCGTGCTCTCGCCCCAAGTCGGTGCCAGGAAAAGCTCCAGACGGCCCCGTTCTCCCCCAGCCGTGCCGCTGCAGAGAGCTCCGAAGACACTTTGCTCTTGGGTTTTTTTTTTTTTTTTTTTTTTTTCCGGGGCCGGGTCCTTCCCCGGGGGGGCCCCTTTAATTTTTTTCGGGGGAAAAGTTCCCCGGGGAGCTGCCTATAAATTATGTACGTGGAAAATGGGACCAGAAAGCAGCAGGCATCAATAATTGATGGTCGATGTTTGCTAACAGGCGCGCTGCATCCGGGCACCCCTGGGCCACGGGGCCTTCGGGTGAAGCCGTGCGGCCCCGCTCATCCCTCCTGCCCCGGCGTTAGATCCCCTCTCCTCCTCCCCTCGGGCTTTGGGCTCCGTTTTGGTTTTTAAATGCAGTATTAAGGCCTGATCCAGCCCTGGGCAGTCGCCGCATCTGCTGGAAGTGACAACCTCTGACTTGGGTCCCCACAAGCAGAGCTGCGGCTCAGGCTTGAGCTCCTTTGATCTGCGGACCCCAAAGCTTTCGTTTCGGGGTGTCTCCAGGGGATCTGCGTTGGCTCTCTGCTGTTGGGTTTGGGGCTTTGGCAAGCTGGACCCCATCCCCACGGCTGGCGGGACACAGGATGCTGTGTCTGTCCTCCATCCCTGGCCTCTCCTGAACTCCTGGTGCTTCTGCTCGCCCCACACCATCCCTGTTCGCCTCCCCCTTTCCCTTCTTCTTCCCACCTCGGAGAGGTCCTGGCCCTCGGGCCCCGGCCGGGTCCTGTGCCGCGGTGTGCGCTCCCCCGGCAGCCGCAGCCCGGATCTCACGGACAAGGAGCAGGCACCAGTCGGCTCCTGGCGGGGCTGGGAGGACGATCTCTCTTCTAGTTAGAGGTGCCTGACCTGGGGGCTGCTCCCAGCGCAGGGGACGGGACATGCCGGTGGCTCGGCTCCGTGCTTTACCCTGTGAGGGAAGAAGGGATATCGGTCATTGCCCGGCGTTCATCAGGGCAATGTGGAGCACTTTTCAGGGGGGTTGCTGACCTTCTGGAGGGTCTACAGGCCCCCAAAATCACCCCTCCTGCAAGTGAGCTCTTCCTAGGGATGGCTGCAGGCTGAGAACTGACAGAACTCCGTTCAGTTGTGTTTTGCCCACCTTCCTGGCAGCGACCACAGCAAATGTGAGCCGGTGCCTGGCTGTGGACATGCTGCCTCGAATGGCACACGGGGTCTGCGACGCTGGGCTTTGGGCAGGAACCCAGCCTGTTTTGAGGGCTGCGTGCCTGGCCCGCTGCCATCCGTGAGGGTGCAGGAGCCAGCCCGGGGCTCCCAGGCTTTGGGAGGTGTGGTGCTCTGGCAGGGCAGGCTGTGATGGCTGCCTCTCCTGCCTCCTCGGGAAATTAGCTGGTGTTTACGGGAAGGATTAGCGCTGCTCTGCCACCCCGGGAGCCATCTCCCCTTCCCGCTCGCAGACCGGGATTCGGCCGCCCCTGCCAGCGCGGGGATGGTTGAAGGTTGGGGTGACCTTGGGTGGCTCAGGCTGGGCTGGGGCTCGCAGGGATTTCCTGGGCAGGGAAAGGGGAGCAGGCATTGCGCTCGGGGAGGGAGGCAGCCGAAGCCCCGGGGTGCGAATCTGCTCCTGCTAAATCCCGCTGGATGGAGCAGCTGCCGAGCCGGGGGCTGCCGTGGGGCTGGACCCCAGCACCAGCCTCCACCCATCCCGGCGCTCTCTGCCCGGGCTTCGGCCATCGCAGTGGCCGGGCAGGGACAGGATTGCTGGCAGCGGGGGGATGCAGGCAGGGAGAGGGCAGGGCAAGGCAGGCAGGCAGCCCCGAAGGGTCGCGTCGTGGCCAGCTCCCCCTTCGCCTCTGCCTGGTTGGGGGCTGGCAGCGCGAGAGTTCAACCCGAACGGCTCCCAGCGAGGTGACCTTGGGGACGAAGCCAGCTCTGAGCCATCGCTTCAGTGGCTTCGTGCGGCTTCGCGTGGCTCCGTCGCCTGGTTGAAGCCCGTCCTCCCCTTCCACTCAGGCGCTCTCTGTGTTTTCTTTCCAGGGAGCTACTTTGCCAACCACTTCATCATGGGTGGCGAGAAGTTCGACTCCACGCACCCCGAGGGTTACCTCTTCGGCGAGAACAGCGACCTCAACTTCCTGGGGAACCGGCCCGTGGTGGTGGGCACTGGGGACGCGGGGCCGGGGGGACGCGGGGCCCGGGTGTGCCCCTTCCCAAAACGGTGGTGACTGTGTGTGTCGTGGGGGTGCACGGCGTAAGGCTGCTGGCTGTCACCCCCAAGGGCAGAGCCACCCCAAGCACGCCGGGGGTGGCCCGAGTGGATTCTCTGATGTCTAATATGAGGGTTGGCTACTTGCTGCAGCCTGCCCTCCATCGGGGACTGACCTGGGTCCCCTCTCAGCCTGTCGGCCCCCGTCCACGCGCTCCACAGCAACGTAACGTTACTGCTGTATCTCTCGCCTCACCGCCAAACTTGAGTTGCGATGGGCGAATAGGTTTGCAAGTGTTGGGAACACACCGGGCGATTGTGTGACCTCTGCCTTTGGGTGCCGCTCGGTGCAGTACCCGTCTTGCGGATCATCAGACCTGCACGTATTTTCCAGCCCATGAGGGCTGCTTGCGTGCACGAACCCGCCAGCTTAAAAACATCAGCTGGTGGAGAAGATGGTGAGGGGTGGTGGGCTGACTTAGCCCAGCTCCTTCTTTCTCGCTCCCTCTCCAAGAGCTGCTTTTCCTCTTGCTTTTCCCAGCCCAGCCGGGAGCCATCTCCCAGCCTGGGCGGCACGGGGTGGGGGATACGCTGGGAGCGGGGCAGGCCTGGCGTGGGGTAGAGCAGCTTGGACAGGAGGAGGCGAAAGTATTCCCCAAGCTCTAGCCAAAAAAGGGAAAAAAAAATAATAATAAAAAAAGGGCTTGGTGGGGGCTGTGGGCAGTGCTGATGGGTTTTGCGGTGCTGGGTGCTGCTGGCTCCAGCTGGTCCCAGGGCACGGGGAAACCCGGCTGCAGGGGAGGTCCCTGGACCCCACGGTCCCGGAGATGTTTTTTTCTGCTCGCTGACTTTGGGGAAGGAGAAAATGAGAGCGGGGCCGTCCCCACAGGGGGTTGCAGCCATGAGGGTAACGTCCCCCACCCCTCCGGGAGCATCGCAGTGGGGCGGCTTGCCAGCATCGGCTGGAGCAGTGGGGGGGTCAGGTAAAAAAAAAATTCAAGGTGAGGAATTAAAAGGCACCGAAGCCTTTCTATTGAGTCGAGATAAGCTTGCCTGGTGCCAGCAGCCCTGCTCTCGAATGCTGCCTGTGCTGTGCCGGGGCCGGCGAGGCTGCTGCCATACCGGTTTGTGCTTGCTCCTTGAAATCGGCTTTGGCAGCGTTTTGGCAGCCTCGTATGGTCCTTCAGCGCCCGGCCACGGGCTGTGCCGGAGCGGGGGTCCTGCTAGAGCCAAGGGCAGGAGCAACCCCCAAAACCCGCAAGCGCTGGGTGGGCAAAGCCAGCGCCTTTCTCTCCATCCTCTGCCCTTCCCCAGAAAATGAAAAGTCAGCACTCGGGTCCTCTCTCCAGCAGCGAGCGCCGAGAAATCCTCTCGATTACAGTAAAAGCCTCTAAACTGCCCAGCGAGCAGTTCCTGAGTCAGACACCCCGACAGCAGGAGCAGCGGGGAAGGTAAAGGAACAGCTTGGAAACAGCAGAAAGAATTAATATAGCGTTGCAAACTAAATTACATTGCTCCGGCTTAATTACTGATGGCCCTGGGCTGCAGCGCTGTGACCGAGGTCTCATCTGCCCGGGGAGCGGGGGGCGCTTTGGGGCTGGGCTCTCGGCTCGGGCCAGTTTGGGGGCTCAGGGAGGGGTTGGCGAGGACCCGTGTTGTTTCTGGCCCAAGCCTGTGTCCAGGTATCACTGAGCATCTCTGATGCCACCTCCGAGACCTCTCCTGCTGCTTCTTGGCTGCGATGCTTTCGTGTTCTGGCCTGCTGCGAGAGCTGGCTGGAAACGTCGGAGATGGCCAGTGCTTCTTGGAGGGGGATTTATTTTGGGTTCCTTGGGTGTCGAGGGCCAGGAGGTCTTAGGAAAGAAATTGTGTCCCGAGTCCTCTCTGAGCTGAGCACCTTGGCTCAGCGCCGCTGCCGCGGGGATGCGCAGGGCACCCAGAGGCTGTGCAGACTCTCCCCTCCGCCGATACGGGATAATCTGGATTTTCCAGCTCGGGACTGGTTCCCAAGGGGCTGGGAAGGGCGTTGCAGGTTTAAGCAGCTGCCGCCGTGCTGGGACACCTCTGCAGGGGCCGAGGAGCGGAGAAGCTGCTTGGGGCACCCAGGGAGCACGGGGCGTTCCGGGGAAGCCGGGGACTGTTGAAACGTGCTGCTGGGTTTCACGGCCCACGCAAACCAGCCTGGGTCTGCTTGTAGAAAAACCCCAAGAAATATTTTTGAGTTTTTTTTTTTTTTTTTTGCTTTATCAGAAGCCGGTCTGGACCAAATGTCGCTATAGAGGCATGGACAGCGTTTTTAAATGGGTAACGGTTGCAGTGAGGCTTTTTCCTGTTGTTTTTCAGCTTGATTTAAATTGAGGAGGTGCAAAAAGTCCTTTAAACAGCCCCTTTCGGATGTGCAAATCTGCCTTGCAAAATTTCATTAAAAAAAAAAACAACCCCCCCAAAAAAGAGCCCACACGTGGGTGTGAAATGGCCCAACGGCGAGGGCAAAGCGGTTTCTGCAGCAAGAAATTTGCCTGCGGTGCTTCCCCATCCTTCCCAGCCCAACGGCCCCGCACCGGGGCACCCGCTGCCTGCTTCCTCCTCCGCCGCCCACCCCTGGGCGCTGCGGCGGGAGGGGGCTCGCACCCATGGGTGCCCTCCCTGCCAGGGTGAGCTTCGCCACTTACCGCGGGCTGGTTTGGGCATGGCTCGGCTGGGCAAGGTGCAAATGGGCAAGATTGGATTGCTTCATTAATTTGAATAGCAGAGGATGTATCGTGACATGGCACGGCATGTCGTGACGTGGCTCAGCTCCAGCCCGGAGGCCTTTTCTCCCTTGCTCCGTTCCAGCTGTAAGGGGCAATTCTGCGGGTGCCCGGTTAGTGCTGGTGACTCGTTACAAAGCTCATTACCGCCAGATTAATGACAGCCGCCCTTTTCCCCTCCCGGAGGGGAGGGAGGGGGCGGCCATTGCAAGGTGCCATGGATTCAGCCTCAAAGCGCCCCTGCCAGCGTCTGCGCTGGGCCCAGCCCAGGCTTCACCCGGCCTTTCCGTGCCGTGGGACCGGAGCTGTGGGGTGGTGGGACGCGGTGGGGGATGCCCAGCTGCTGGAGGAGGGATGGGGCAGGCCTCTGCCTGCGCTGCCTGCTCCTGCCAGCTGCCCGTCCCATCCCGTCCTGCTGAGCCCTGCATGGGTCCCCAGCCAGGGCGGTTGTGCGAGCCTGTCCTGCTCTGCAAGGCTTTGGGGACAGGGGAGGTGACGATGGCTTTCCCACGCGAGGGCGCCAGGGACATGGGAATCGGGCACCGGGCTGCCTGCGGGGCATCCCCAAGTGCCATCTGCAAGCCGTCTTGTCCCCTGGGTGCCGGGGTGCAGCAGGAGCCTCGCTGTCCCTGAGCCCCGCTGCGGGCTGGGGGCAGCGTGCGGGGACGACAGGACCCAGGCAGCCTGGCTTGGCTACTGGTCCCTCTCCCAAGGCAGCCAATGAGCCCTTTGGCTCTTGTGAGCATCTGCCATCCACGATGGCACCTGCTGCCCTCCTGGCTCTGGCCGTCCCCTGGCATGCGGTGACAGCCTGCCAGCGAGATGGGCGTTAATCCCGGCGTAAGCCTCTGTCTCTCCGTGTTTGTGTCGTTCCCCCGGGGGGCTGATCCCTTCCTGGGGCTCAGCCTACCCGGGAGATGGAGAGGGGGGAGACGAGTCCTGCATCCCTTCCCCGGTGCCCTCGGTCTCCCTTGGGTGGCTGCAGTGCCAAGGAGAAGGTGTCCTCCGGCTGCCACCATGTCCCCTCTCCCCAGCAAGCCCTGTAGCCCCTGCGCAGGTGGACAGGAGGGACCAGGAAGGACAAGGCCACCTTGGAGGCTGGCGCGACACCTCTCCCTCGTAGCGCTGCTGCCTGCCTGGTCCTGCCCGGCCGCCCCGTTGGCTCCCCGCTCCAGGGCTGGCACAGACCCCGCCACCCAAATCCCATCCATCCTTGGGAGAAAACAGGGATGCTTGTGTCCGTTCCTTGGCTGGCAGGCAGGGAAGGAGCTTTGGCTTCCCCCTGCCCAGCCTCATCCAGCAGCTCTGCGCTGCATCAGCAGCCTAAAAATACACCAGCAGCCGCCCGCCTGCCCCGTGCCCCGCGTCCCCTCCAGCCGAAGGGACAAGGAACAGCCCCTCTCTGCGTGCCCCTCCCCCCCCCGTGAAACTGTCCCCTGCAAGGGGTTTTGGGCTTGCTCTTTGCAGGGGGAATGTTCCCATCATCACGCTTCTGGTACCCAAGTGCCAGCAGGAGCTGTGGGTGCTCGGCACCCATCAGGATGCGCAGGCCACCCTGGGTCCCTGCCTACGGGGTGTCGGGTCGGGGCTGGGTCACTGGGGGGTCCGGGGACAAGGTCCGCAGCCGCTGTAACCCCCCACGTGTGTCTGCCTTCACCGGTGTCTCTCTCGTCCTAGTTCCCTTATGCTGCTCCACCTCCTCAGGAACCCGTGAAGACCCTCAGGAGCTTAATCAACATCCGCAAGGACACCCTGCGCCTCGTCAAGTGAGTCCTGCGGCGGGGAGATGGGGCCGGGCACCCCGCGGCCGTGAGCCACGGGGCGGGAAGGGGCTGACTGGATGCTCCCAGGGGATGCTGAGCACGGGGATGCTCTCATTTCGGCACGGGTGGGTAGAGGGGATGAGACACTGGTGTCTAAATGCGCCCCTTCCCCTCCCGGCACGGGTGAGCTTCCCGCATGCAGGCACCAGCTGCGCTGGCTCCACCGCGGGATTAAAGGAGCTTAGTGCTGCCTTTGAAATGCTTTGCTTTTTCTTCCTCCCCCACCTTCCAAAGGCTTTGTTGGAGGGAGGCTGGGGATTGCAGCTGGGCCGGGAGATTCGGGATTACGGCTGAAACCTGCCTGCGGTGCTTCCCAGTCTGCAAGCTTGACCTTGGGCATGCCGGGCCCTCCCGGTGTGCCTCAGTTTCCCCTGATGGAGGGGGCTGCCCTCTTTGGGGCCATCGGTGCCGCGGGGAGCCATCTCTGCTGGGGGGACAGTCCTGGGGCACCCCGAGCCCTCCCTGAGGGGTGCCCATCTCCTGCGCCCTCTGTGCTCGCCAGGTGCTCGGAGGAGGTGAAGACCCCGGGGGAAGAAGTCAGCAAAGCCAAGGTGCACTACAACGTGGAGTTCACCTTCGACACAGATGCCCGCGTGGCCATAACCATCTACTACCAGGCGAGCGAGGAGTTTCACAACGGGGTGGCGAGGTGAGAAGCCCCAGCCTGGCCTGTGCCCCCCCCAGCCTGGCCTGTGCCCCCCCAGGCCCGGTGTGTCCCCGGCCAGGGTGTGGGGCTCTGCTGATGGAGATGGAGCCTCTCCTCCCCGGAGCGTCCCCCCTCCTCGGGGCAGGAGGCGGCTGCCGGCGGGGCCGAGGCTGGGGGGGGGGG